AAGGAACCAATGCCTCAGCCATCGTCATATTCACCACAAATGTAGCCCATCCAATGACGAACAGGGCTGCTTGCTTTGGAGCCAGAAGTATGCACACCCATTGCTGCATGACGATTGTGCCATCCGTCATCATTGAATCAGTTTTGCACCTACTCCTTGAATACGAAGAACAGATTTTTTTTTTATTCAAAATGGTACCTCTTTAGTACTTAGTTTGCTTGCCCTTCGCTCTATGGACCGCGCTGAGCCTCCTCGGCATGCTCCTGATGAGTTCCCGGCAGAAATCAACTGGTATCTTGTACCATTCCGTTGATATTCTCTCCCATAGCTCCTTGCAGCTTTTTGGCGGATTTGGATACTTTCCCAGCTGTACTTTGAGATAGGCCCACATATGCTCGATCGGGTTCAGATCAGGAGACTGTGCTGGCCAATATAGAAGGCGCTCATCAGCCTCAGTCATATGGACGGACTCCAGAAATGCCTTGGTGACCTTGGCCGTATGCTTCGGATCGTTGTCGTGCTGGAAGATGAATTCGTCCTTGGCCATGCCCCACTCCTCGACAGACATCTGTAGATCCTCCTTCAGAATCTGGATATACAACTGGGAGTCCAGGGTCTCATCGATCTTTGCGATATAGCCAGGTCCGTACCATGACATACAAGACCATACCATGACGCTTCCGCCGCCAAACTTGACTGTTCCCTGGACTGTACGGCTTGTCAGTCGCCCCAAAGCGTCGTCCCAGACCCACCTAATGCCATCAGAACAGATCCTATTGATTTTGCACTCGTCTGACCATACAACTGTGGCCCAGTCCTCTTTCGTCCACTCTTTGTATTTCTTGACAAACTGCATCCGACCTCTAATGTGCTTTGCTTTGAGTGCTGGTCGCTTGACAATCTTTTCGGCCACTAGTCCAGCTTCCCGAAGTCGCCGTCGAACTGTCCACACCGATACAGGTCGTGCCAACATCCTGTTGGCCTCGCTCTTGGCCTCCACGGCAGTCCTAAGAAGTCCGCGCTTCATGTTCAGCTTGAGGTGCTCCACGGTTTCTTGACCAATCTTTCTCGGACGGCCTCCCTTGTTGCTTGGCATGTTTTCTTTGTAACCTGAACGTATTCTGCTAGCCGTTGCCTGAGAGATGGTAAGACGTTGGGCTGTCTCACGAGTGGAAATATCCTCAGACATGAGGCTTATTGCTTCCTTAACAGTGGATGGAGGTACGGGCTTCATTTTTTGCAGATAGATAGAGTAGAATAAGGCAAACAGGAAAACGAAACACAAAATGGGTTCATTTATAATGAATCTGATGAAAATGACGATGGTATTTAGAATTACATAAAAATGAGGTTAAGGTGCAAAACTGATTCAATGATGACGGATGGCACAATCGTCATGCAGCAATGGGTGTGCATACTTCTGGCTCCAAAGCAAGCAGCCCTGTTCGTCATTGGATGGGCTACATTTGTGGTGAATATGACGATGGCTGAGGCATTGGTTCCTTGTAGGCGAGTGCCAACGCAAAAATCATCGCATCATTGAATCAGTTTTGCACCATACTGTACGTCCAGCCTAGGAAGCGTGATCTGACACCGGATCAAATCAGAGCATGCTACGAATTTGCTAAGGCGCACTTGAAATGGACCGTGGACGACTGGAAGAATGTGATGTTCTCGGACGAAACTATAATCAGCAGGATTGGGTCCTTCGGCAGGAAATTCTATTACAAGAAGCCCAACAGGAAGGATATCCAACCTCACCAAGTGCAGAAAACAAAGCAGGGCGGAGGGGGCAAAATTATGGTCTGGGGTTGCATGACATTTTATGGCTTGGGCGATGCCTGCTGGATTCCAGGAAGTATGGATGCGCAAGCCTACCTCGGTGTACTGAAGGACTATCTTTGCGCATCTCGGGATTGGTTTGGTATGGATCCAGCAAAATTCATTTTTCAGCAGGACAATGCCAAAGTGCATACAGCAGGCATAGTCGAACACTTCCTTAGGAAATCCAAGATCGCAGTCATGGAATGGCCTGCGAATTCTCCGGACCTCAACCCGATCGAGCATCTATGGTCGCACCTCAAGTACCGACTTGATCAGTATCCAGAGGCACCAAGCTCTTTGGACGACCTCTGGGAGCGTGTTCAGGATATGGACCACAATAGATATCGAATTCCTTCACGAGCTATATGAGAGCATGCCCGAGCGCATGAAGAAGCTTCACGCAAATAAAGGAGGCCATATCGATTATTAATGGCAGAAAAGTAGCTAACAGAATCAGAGGGTGGTCATATTTCGAAAAAGTGTTAGAATGGGGTCAATATGTTCATGTCCTCAATTAGCCGGATAGAGTGCATCCATTGGCTCGTAACTTGGCAGGTAATCTTAACAAATATACGAGATTGATCGCGTGAAGCCTCGTGGCAGTAGGCGGTATTGATGTAAGTATCAAAGAAAAAAGGTCGAAATTATGAAAACATGATAACACTTTTTCCGTGGACTGTACTCTCAAGCGCCATGCAACAGCAGCAGAGTCAAGGGGTCAAGGGCAGTGGTCAAGTAGGAATGCGTAGAAATGAATGCTGTTTAATGATCGTAAGTAGGGTCTATATATACATGTCTGGGGCCTATTGTACAGTGTCGTAGTGGAGTTGTCATGATGCCGGGCTCCCATCCTGGCTCTGTGTGTCGTAACCGTGCAGCTTGGTAACCGAGTGGTAATCCTGTTGCACGCCACTTCTTGAAGGACAAGCAGAAACGGCGTGTGGACACAGTCATCTACGTCCTTGCTGTAATGGCCGTACCGCACTTTCAACAGAAATGTATTCGCAGCGTTGTCAACGTAGGTCGGATGAACCCTGCCCAAAGAACGGAACTAAAGCTCAGCCATGTTGCCGAGAACCATCTCAAGAACAGAGAATCGAAGGGATACACAGGCGACTACATCATGCAAGCCTCGGACACGATACTCCGAGTAGAATCCTTTACGCGCGTTGGAGTACAATACGATGTCGAGATTGACTTTAGCAAGGCTACTGGAGGCCATGTCATCAGCTGCTCATGCGAATACTTTCGCTCAGAGGCGACTTGCTGCAAGCACATCGCTTTAGTGCAGCTGGAGATGCCTTCTATGAAGTTGTTCAGAGAGGAGCTATGGACGTATGAAGAGAAATTCCACCCAGACATGCTCGAGCCGGACTGCGAGGATCACGCAGTACCTTAAGCGCTTTCATTGCCATTCTTGGGTGCCCTAAGCCGTTGTTCTGAGCTTTTTGCCGCATTGAACGCATTACGGGACACATCTGCACCTTTACCACACATGGAGCGGATCAATCTGTACTTGCAGGGAGCACATCAACAATTTCAAGATGCCCTCGATTTGTTTGAAGCAAGTTTCCCTCGGAAACAAGGCCACGATCTCAGCAATAAGCGGCAACGACAGCGCTACTAGAGTTGATGAAGCTTCCATGCACGTACAAGGGCTTTAGGTTTTTCTCACGGCGGATAGTAAAAATCTGAAATAAAGTTTTACGCACAATACCAATGCAAATCGTGGGGGAGAGCAGGGGGTGAAAAGAGAACTTGAACACTGAATCACTCTTGAATTCTTTCGACAGCACAAAACGGCCAATTGCTATGGCTATACTTACAAGAGAGAAGCACCAATACTCTCAATCGATAGATGTGTCATTCATCTACAAAATAAAAAAATTGTGAAGAAAATCCAATGAGTATCCATGGCCCTGTACTTGGAAATAGTATGCAGCGTCGTCTAACGCGAGCACATTCTCATCACAAAAGCGCATCCCGCCGGTTCACTTGATCACCTCTGCACCTATCAATGCTACCACTGATAGCTATGGAATATAGCTACAGTATGGAAGTCGTATTTAACGAATCTGTTCAGTATTCATAGACTTTTCTTACTAGGACATCACAAACTTGAGTCATTTTGGTAACTCAACGTCCTTGTCTATAAGCAAACTTTTGTTTTCGACATATTAAAGTGTGCTGCTTTCCTATGCATTAGATTCTCCATTGCCGACTTATACTTTTCAGAAAGTATGAGCCGGTTTCAATGTATAATGCTTATATCGACGCGTATCAAAGAAACTTGGCAGATATTCTGCTGTAGTTGTTCTCGCTCCAGTGTTCAATTTCAGTCTATCATATAGCGCGTCCATTCAAGTTGATTTAAAAGTGCTCTAACCCCAATAAGGACATAGGTTTTAATGATATCTATCGGTCGCAAAAAGGCTGGGTGCATTTGAGCCAGTATTGGCGGACTTTACTATGTAGCATGTTAGATCCTAGAATCCTATGTAGGGCTAATTGCATGTAAGGAGAGCCAGTGCATATAGGGAAGAGATGACATGCATGGAAGGAAGATTAATGCGTATAGAGAAGAAGGTGGTGTGCATATAGAGAGATATATGCATATAGGGAGCAGCTTGCATAGAGGGAAGCGGCCTCAATTTGTGACTTTGGAGGGTACCTAAGGACACTCTTTTATTCATGTGACCTATTGAGGATATCAGCCATCAGGGCGGTGCTCTATAAAGGCCGGCCTGCTGCTGAAATAAAGATACCAACTTTTCGTCTCCTTGACTTCCGGACCCCTAAACATTTCACTGCTCTCTTCGCTTGCTGCAGGGCCGATAATGTTATGATCTTGGCAGTCAAGTGCTTCACAACAACGCTGCTTTAATTTCATGCCAAAGTCTCCAAATAAAGATCATGCTCAAGAGCACTTCAATAGGCTTTCAAGGCAGTTTTATTCAACGAAATCGCAAATTTTATGTAAAGTGCAGTTGAGCGCAGGTTGTAGTTGCCAAATGGCTGATAGATGCAAATGGGTTTGTCTGTCAGTGTGCCGGTGGTTGCACCTGGCTGGCAGAAGCAGAAAAGTTGGATAGTGGACAAAGCCAAGGTTGTAGGGATGACAAGCAGGAGATGATCAGGATTTGAGTTGAAAAGACAGGCCAGGAAAGTTGTGAATGTTACTCGCCATCACGAACGAGTGTCCTTGTTGGCTTGTTGAAGGATGGCCTGATCCAAGAGAGAGGCACTTTTGGACTTGTGCTTGGGCGAACCTTCACACGACGAATAGCAGAGACTGTCTTCTTGACCTTTAATTGCGCATGTTGAAATGACTTCATCAGAGTAACGATGGGTAGCACGTTCAAAGGATCAGTAGCAATGTAACAAACCGCAAACCGGCGCAAGATGTATGTTCCCTCAGCACATATCTTCATTATGAAAAATTCAATCAGAGGTTCTAGAGACAAGTAAATATAGAGACAGATTAATAACACACGCAAAGCTGGAGAGGTTAAAGTATATTCAACATGATCAACATGGACAAACCTCGAACGAGGATGCCAACAACACAAACATCTTCTTCTGGAAGAAGCTTCAGGATCGAGTCCAGCGCAAGTTTCATCTCCTGACCTAATGACAAGAGAAAGAGTCAGAATGTGATGAATTGTTCAAAGAGTCTATTGTCCTCGCTATTGGCAGTCACGCACCAAGCTTGGTTCTGTCATCCCAGATTTGTAATGTCCTGTTTGAAGCAACCTTGCCCTCCAAAAGCACCACAGATAACCCCTCCGTCCAGCTACAGTTATAGTCGAGTAGTCAGGCACGAGAAGATCGTAGTCTGTGTTTTGAGTGTCCTGTTGTGTCTGCGTCCTATGAAACATGAAAGGGTAGGAGATTGGCATTTCGACAGGTGACCAGGCATATGAGAAGGAGAGCATCGGCGCTGCTTACCAGCATTGTTGTAAACGTAATATTGCCGAAGTACGTTTCTAAGAAAAGTCCCAGCCGTGATTTGAGGTAGGTGTCCTCATTGCATACTTGATCGCTCCAGAGATGACCACTGCTGACCATCAAGTTCAACAGAGAGTGGAGGGTAGGGTCATTGGAGGAAAAGCTCTCAAATGAGTCCTGAAGGACTCTGGGCTCTCCCGTGCTAAAAAGTGCGCCCACCAATGAACTTCCTCGAGAGTATGTTTTGGGAGAGGCTCCACTTGGTTCCTTGTCGC